CATACACTCGATTCCATTTTACCATTTTAACGAAGGAAAAGTACCGGTGGCAGTAGAATTTCGAGAAACAGCAGTTGAATAATTGATTTTCGGAAGGTATTTACAGCTACCGTCAAACTGAAATCTGTGTGGCGGGACAGGATGCAGATATAACACCAAATCCTTTGATGTGCCGTCAGGGAGGGTTTCTATATACATATATCTCCGATATGTTTTAGACTATCTTCAGGGACCAGTCAGGGTCAAAGGGGACATGGGCGGTCAGGTTCGTTGATTGGTTGGTGCTTGACAACGTATCACAACAGTCTAGGTAGATGCTCATGATGTCAATCACTGGATTGTCTTGTCCAGGTTCGATTACATACCTACTGCCGTCATAGGGCTGGAATATTGCTGAGTACACACAAACTCTACTTCTGTTGCTGTGGATACTGATGCCCCGTTAAAGACACGACACAACATCTGAAAAGTGTACAGTTGCTAAAACACAATGAAAATGTCATTTCGAATGTAATTGGCCACTTGAGTCTAATACCCTGCCGGCGGTGAGTGTCATCCCCCATATACGCTTGGGTTCCCTTTACAAATTATGTTCACTACCTGGGGGTTGACGGTGGCGTCACGTCAAAACGGCAATAATTCATTATGACAACCTTCGGTCTTTCTCAGTTGTATCAGGATAAATTGTAGCACATCTCACATGACATCATAAAATAGAAAAAAGAAGAAGCAAAAATCAATTTAGAATTAAATTGCATTTCCGACGACATTCGCCATTTTCAATCGGAACTGTCCTAAAGATATTTTCTCGTTAATTGTACATTGGTGTATCTTTCTCCTGGGGATATAAAGAATGAGTGTTTGGTTTAAAGCTGCTGTCAGTATTGGAGGACGTTAGATGACATTTTTTTCGTATGGTGATGGAAAAGAATGATGCGACGACGACAAATAACGCTGATTTCCGAGCATTTTGTGTGACAAGCCATCGAGTATTGTCGACATTTCGCATGTTTTCTTAAAGTCTTCCGTACGCCTGTCAATGTGGTTACGTCTAAGTTCTAACATTTAAGACTTGAATCAATTCGGATTTTCCTCTTTAGTTGAAACTAAACAGTCGACCGGAGTATCATACGAACTATTAGTGAATGCAACAAACATTAAAGAATTGTGCTGTAATTAATAATCGTATTCTAAATGTAAATAAGTTTAGAAATCAATACAAAAGTATCACTGGGGCAGTACAAAATAGAGTGGCAATGGAAATTGAGAGGCAGTATAATAAATAATGGTAATATTCACATCTGAGTAATAGTAATCCTTGTTACGACTAGGCCAGGGAGGGTATACTGATATATAGAAGATATATAAAATAAAATATATTCATTAATTCTATCATTGAGTTTTGTCATTCTTTAGCTCCACATGGTTGCTAAACCCCCTCTGATCACAATATATGGAATATCCCATACCCACTTCACCTAATCCTGAGTAATCAACCAAGCATGACAGACCCACATCACCTACTTAATTTCCCGTACCTAATGGGTAAAAATTAGGTGAAGTGGGAGGACACCATACTGATCGTCTTCTGTTAACATGGGATATAACGTAAGATGAGAGGCACTAGCTAGCTCCGCTTACATACACAAAAACACATTGCTAGAAAGTTTTACGCTGAGGCATCTCGAGTTTCTATAATATTCTATGCACCAGCTGAGGAGGGTTCCAGTACATCCCATCACTCTGTCTAAATATAGTACACCACTGCTCCTCACTGAATCTATAGGTACGATATATAACTGTTGAAACAGTGTTTCACAGTGTATTACACTGCCTCCTAGCAATACCTTCCATGTAATTAGGTAGATATGTTTCAGCCTAATGTTCCTTGAATTAACGCATGTGTTACAAGTAGAATAGTTTCTGGAGTGGTAGGGAGCGGGTGTACTGTACTGATGTCGTACAGACGGAGAGAACATGAGAGACGTACCTGGGTTCATGACGAACATGCGAAACAGTTGGTGTATGATACAACTTGAAATACGGTCAAGTGGAGACCCGAGCTGACGTAGTGATAGAATCAATATAATGTTTCTATAGAGAAAGAAACGGAGCGAATTTAAACTTCAGAAAAAGCAAAAGTGTTGCATGAATTGAATAAATACAGTTGAATAAATGGTAATTTAGACACAAATTGCATAGGGGGTCGGAGCTTCACTTGTAAAAATAACAGACGGTTTACTGTTTCACTCGAAAAACAACCTGTCCATTTATTAGAACTAAAGATTTATATTTTTGGAGGAAGAAGTGACCTTGAAGCCCTCAGTGCAATCATCCTTCCCGAACCCAGCAGGCCAAAGAGGCGCCAGGCCATCTGAGTGTAACCAGGTTATATAACTGATTGACTGCCTTTGGGGGGTCATTTCGGGTTTTGGTTATTCATCACCTTTGCACCATGGCCCTCCGCTATCCAGTGACACATAAATGGTTTGTCATGAAAGAATGCAGTAGTTCCAGGGATAGCACATCCAACGCCGATTTCATCATTAACCTTTACACATCCAGCCCGTCAGAGGAGACATGGAGACTAAAACTGCAGCGTCAAGGGAATACCAAATTTCAGATTGAAATCATCAAATTACAAACAAAATGAAGTAAACGCCGAATAACGTTTTCAGTATATTGTTCACATGTATTATATTATCACATTCACAGCTATAAACTCAGATATGGAATTCATAAAATTCTGAGAAATGACACCGAAAAACGACGGAAATGGTCAAAAACTACCGGCGGTGTAATCTATACAAGCGGATAAATATATACAACCGGAACACTCATTTGGAATACTAAAGAAATGTGTCAGTATCACGAGGTTCGCTGGAGCCCAGAGTTAACAAGAAAACTAATGAAAAAGAACGCATAACACGAAAAAGTGTTTCACTGATTTATCAAGCTAAGTCTTATTTTGGATCTTTGCCTTGCCTGACAACTATACAAGGCTGACACTGTGACCCCTTTAATCCCAGATTACACGCCGTCTTGTGTGTCTCAAGGAGATATATGCAGAACTCATCCATTAACTCGATGTAAGCTTCTCACGAAAGTTAGAAGTGTGCTTGTATGATTGATGAATATATGTGACACCAGACCTCGATTATTCAGACAAATACTTACACCATAAATGTACGTTTTTCATATTTTGTAGGGCACATTCTGATTCTTGTGCGTCCAAAACTGGGCTTCACACATTGTACCCATGTGGTCTTCGGCGTGACGAGCGAACGCTTCAACCACTAGGCTACCCCCCTGTATTAGAGTGAGTGTGGTAACGCATTTGGCAGACCTCTACAACTTCAAGCGTACGAGTGCAGGATTGGTGCGGACATTGTAGGTAGGATTCGAATAAAAGACCATTAGATCCTGGGACAACAACGGGACGATAGGCGGAGCTGCGGTCTTTAAAACCACTGGGCCACCCATGGAAACTGTAGTGTACTAGAAGGTTGTCAGGGTGCCGTTGTACAGAGCGATCTTAGCGCTAGGTGACCGTAACTCCCATACCTTAACATAGACTTAAGGTAGTCTTAGCGCTAAGGTTGTTTTGTACAACGGCACCCAGGTCATTAAATTTAGCCTCAAATCGCCATACCTATCTGTAGCAAGTTATTTAACACAGTTACTGTGCCCCTGTATTGTTCCCAAGAAATGCCAGACATTGATCTGGAGCAAAATCAAGGCTAGTGTTAGCATGCAATACCCATTGTGAGCACACGTGTCATAACATTTAAGAGAGCTAAATGTAATTTAAAAACCGAACGCATTCTTAAATCAACGATAAAGAACTGCAACATTGAAAACAGAGTAGCTTTATCTTCTCTCTAGCACGACTGATAAGCGTTTTAAAACCGAACTGTTTGGCGCGCAAGAACAAATGGCGTGAAGGGGCCTTTTTCCTGGAAATCGCATGGAATCGTCCGTTCAGTGACAGGTTGTGTAACGAACAAAAAAAAGACATTTTTAACAACACAAATGCTTTATTTCAGGAACCAGTATGCTTGTATTTGTAACAAGTAGCATACATAAATAAAAAAAAATACAGTTTATACTGTGAGCCAGTACAATAATTATTATTTGATTTTTCTCAAGCGAATTATTGATCTCCCCTACTGTATGACAATCGACTCGCCCAAATGCAAGCCGTGAACTCGCTAAGTTTAGTCGCCGCTAACTTTATTCACGGAATAAATGTTGATACCACCCTACTATTCCCAATTCGGAAAAGACCTGACATGCCACGTTTTATGTGGGATACATAGACAGTGGAAGTGGAAGGACTTGGCATTACGACCGCTACGGAAGCGGCCAGGTTAGGACGTGTCGTCGACGTCAACACACGTAGATCTGGACCCGGTTTGAATATACTGCCGCTTTTTGCGCTGCTGACGGATTTTCCAGCTTCGTAGTTTCTTCACTTTTGGATTAGGGTCAAGAAATTCTTTCTTCAAACCATTCGCTTTTACTCAAAAACACCAAAAGATGCTGCCGAGATAGAAATTGCTGATGTCCGACATGTTTGTTTCCAAACAATAGGGTCAACGAGTTCGTTGTATTCATACGCGGTGAATCGGTCACTTTAATTATCGGTCCTTAAACTGCCATTCTTGCGACGATTATGATACCGATTCTGATTACTGGCTGAGAGCTCATCAAAACCGTACTTAAATGACAGTTTAAGGACCGCTAATTAAATTAATTCGCTAACGCGTTCGGTTTTTAAATTATATTTAGCGGTCTTAAATCAACGATAAAAGGCCGCAAAATTGAAAACAGAGTAGCTTTATCTTCTAATTTAAGTACGGTTTTGAGGAGCTCTCAGCCAATCAGAATCGAGTATCACACACTGTCGTGCTAGAATTTTGGTTACGAAACGATTCAAATCATGACAATCGAAGGCAAGAGGGTCCGCAAAGGGAGCCGGGGACCAGCTTAGTCCGCTAGGCAGATCATGACGTCACGTGTGCTAAGATGTCATACCATTGTGATGCCTTACTCTGTGACGTCATAGGATTACCTCTGACAACCAGCTCAGGGCAGAAAGGGGAGTTTTGCATCTCTGGCATAATGATAAAAAACAAAAAGCCACCTAAATCGAATAAAAAAGGGAAAAGTAAATCCAAAAAGTCCAAGAAAGGGAAACGGAAACAGAAACAAGGGATAAAAAGCACAGACGCCTTCAAGTTTGTCAGTTCCGCCAAGAGATCGCCCTTCCAACGAGAAAGGTGGCCGGAGGACTCCCCCACCCCTAGGCGCCAGGTGCAGCTGATTAAGGAAGCGAAGAAACTCGACAAAATTGTACAGGTACATAAATACAACCTGGTTTGACCAAGTATAAATCATTAGTTTTGTCTTGATCATGCTTATTTGCAGTTTAACGACTCCCCGCCAACGAGGGAGGGATTTTACGCCGCATTGTAAAGCATTGTATTTATGTCGCAAGGAGGTTGGCGGAACTATTTTATGGTGTTTATTTGCCTGTGGTTATTACACTGGTATACTGGGATCTAGAAAGTGGGAGTAGTGTACCAAGTCGGTTGTAACACAGCAATCTTGAATTAAACGTCTGTTCGAGGTCAACCAGTGTTTGATAGCATCAACGTAAATGAATGACAACGAATGTTCATTAGTTTCAGGCTGACTTTACCAGTATTAACTAAACTTATCTTAGGATCCCGAAATATCTGAGACTCAATACAAAATGTCTGCCAGGGTAGAGATCCACGACAGTCTGGGTATTGCTGTAACACAGAACTATGATAGGTTAAAACTTGTTTTATTGCTTGACAAAGTTGGCGTTGTGCTTTTTCGTAATCGCCATTGGTTAACTATTGTGGTATGTTGTTGTGTTTTCACAGGATTTGAAGAGAAGGATTGAAGCGCTCCCCATGAAGAACCGCCAAGTTCCTACGTCAGTTGACCCCACGGTTTTGGGGGTGGAGCTTTAGCTGAGATTAGCAGCCAAGTCACCAGTCATCGTTGAGAAAACAGGCTGTGGCCGAAAGGTTCAGATAGAGAGAAAGCGAGCTGATCAGCGATTCGTCCCACTGTACAATATCAACGACCAATCAGATTGTCGTATATCTTGTATCATGAAACTGAATAGAAAAGGTGGTACCTACAGACGGGTATTAAAACCGATCTGAATATCACTGTAGATCCATACCATAATTCCGTTATAGTTTAAAGAGCTAGTGTCAGCAACAGTTGCACCAGTACGTCCTGAACTAGAAATGTAGTGCTGGTCCCCTTTACTATAGTGTTTGTTAGTTTCTCTGCCCGTTTGTAAATACAATATTATATCTTATTAAGCATGTTAGTGTTTTGTTTATAGATGAATCATGATGACGGGGTGGAAGTAATGTTTGAGCATATACTATCTTAGTTTTACCATTTCAGATTTATACAAAAGGTGTTTTATACAATTCAGTGAGTGAAACCAACTTCATGTTTCACACCAGGGCTTGGACAACATGTCTTCACTGCGAACCCACTTTTTTCACTTTGTTTTTCGTTCCTTCTTGCAGAAAGTTATTATTATTTCGTTTTGTCATCTATTCCATTAACGTCTTACTAACACACCAGTGAGCACATGTGAAATGTTGCAGAGTTGACAGAAGGGGGTATGACATCTGTCGACTTTGCACACCATTCGTGCACCACACTTCGTCTATGATCTGTCTGACGACCAAATCGATGCAAGTACTTGTAAGGGTCAAAATGGAGACAGTGGATTTAGCGTCCGAACTACATATACCATAATTGCTATTGGAACGTGTGGTCTTATCTCTATGCTTTTTGACACATCTAAGATTTTATGTGCCTTTCCATTGGCATGTGACATATGTTTGTCATGAAATAATTAAACGTTCGTGTTACTGTTACTTTTTATTTGTTTATCAACAACTTGAATAAATTATCAGTTTTAATACAATGTTTGTTTGAATTTTGAATTTTCAAAAGCAATATTCTTTTCAGCGTGACTTCTATCAACATAATTAGTTGTTGGGGAGGCTAACATACATAGTTGTTGTCACTTTATGGATAGCCCCAATGCGCTTTTGCGAGTGGTTATAACAGAATAACATCCTCACATCTTGGCTGACAAGATCCACCGCAGATTCATCTCTTCCCCGAGCAGTGTGTGCACATGGTGCATGGCTTCTCCTGCACTGTTTGGACTTTGTAGAAATACGGCACGACTTACCTTATTACCCCTTAGCTGTCATTGAACCTTCAACTGAATCACTCTCTGCTAGGGCTGGATATTGCCCTGATTTTCATATTGCGATATATTGCAGTAATTTAAGAGATATTGCAATATATACATAGTGATATATTGACTGGAAGGTTTCTGCCTAAGTGCGTACATGATAAATTCATTATAGCTCTCTGTGTGCGACATCATCTTCTTAGTTGCTGTTACACCATAGTTTCAGGCTCCCCGTCCCCATTGTGTATGGCTGTATGTCAATGGTTTACAGATAAATAAAATGATATAGAGCTTTTATGTGGAATATATTGCACCAACGTTTTGCGAACATAATGATGTAGGTAATAGTATAACATGATTTTCACAGTCAGTGTTGCTTCCTTAAACAGAATGCACTTCAGTGCAGTAGGTAATTTTTGTTTTGTTGAGATTACCATCGCATGTGACCTTCAATAGCTAAGATCCTTGACTGGAATGTCATTATACAGTCCTACATTTTTTCTAAGACTCAGGCCTGTAGGATAAATTGATATCATCTGCCCCATTATGAAACAAACAGAAATAACAACATACTGTGAACTGGTCACTCAGAGCCAGAGGCTCTACTAATAGGTCCAAATAAAAATTGGTCCATTTGAGGCCACTTAATTCCTCCAAATGAAACCATTCAAACCCACAAAACGTAAAGTATTTGGTAGACTATTTGGCAATTCTGGAGCCACTTATAATGACACTTCCACTTGTAAATTGTTACATGAAAAAAACAGAAGTAAAAGTATATTTGGCACTTTTAGAGCACATTTGTTTGCTATGGGAATCAAGGGCAGATAATTCAAATGGAGCTAACTTTGGATGACCCAATATATTGCAGAATCTGAACCATGTCGCGATAATAGTATCGTATCGGGAGATACCATACCGGTATATACCGGTTGAGCGGCAATATTGCACAGCCCTACGCTCTGCCCAATACTCTGATAGAATTGTTCTCATATATACCTGCCCACTGTCACACCCTTGGCTTGAGACTTACGCTTGTATTACTCATATCGCTCTCTCACAACAAAACGGAGTTCTTTAGCAAGTACATTTTGACCTCTTAAAATCACACAAATAGGTTTGAATACATTGTGGTCATTCTTTTCTTAGAAGCAAATTTGCAATTATACGTCGGGTTTGCCCCCTGAAGCCCAATCCTGGTTCCACCCTTGACCCACCTGGGGTCTGCGCCCCTAGAACCCCTAGCCTTTTTCTCTCTTGACGTCTGCTCATACTCAGAGACGTCCTAAGCCATGTCACCATAACAGAACAGCTGATTGTTCCATCAGGCTGTCCATGTGCCAAACAACAAGTCACACATGGTGATTTGACATACCTTAATTCATCTCTGCCACATAAAAGGATTTATATCTATTTTGTTATTATCATGATCAACACTGTGTTAATGACTATGCTAATTCTCATTATCATTGCCAAGAATCAGGTTTCTCAATCAAAGACAATATCCACCTCTTCTGGAAAGAAGAATAAAGTACTGGTAACCCAAACCACATCAATCACGTAAAATGAATTTATTTCAATACAAGTGGCTTACACATTAGCCTTTATGTGTAAACTGGAATGTAATTCAGGCCACAAAGTGTTTCTTGGACTCACAGACCTGCATATCCCAAAGTACTGATTGGTCAAGAGATTGTATAACAAGTACCACAAGTACAACACAGATTGTATAACAGTACATACATGTATGGTTGATAAAGTAAATGCTTATCAGTATACTTGGCAGTAGGAAGCAAAACAAAAGTTCCAAAAATTAATTGGCAGTCATGTACTGATAAAATTGCAGAATGTTGTATGGAATGTGTCAATAGGACAATAATTAAAATGTATGATTATCGATTTGCCATCAATAGAATTCATATAGAAAAGATACTTAATCAGTGAACAATACCTCAGCTGCCACCTGGGTCCTTATCTCACACAGAAACCTGTGATCAGGGTGAGATCTGACAAACTGATAGAAAGTTAAACATGGCTAGATCTAACAGATTCTGACTAGATAAAGTGAGACATTGAGTGATATGAAAATGAGAAATGAATATATCTGATAGATTCGGGCTATAAAATGAGAAAAGGTTAGATCTAAGAGATTCTCACAAGCAACCTATTTCTGACTGAGATCTGGTTGATTCTGGCTCTGAGAGTTGTGTATGGTACCTGTGTACATACTATGTATTAGGGTAGAAACTAGTCAGTTCCTGAATCACTTTCAAGCAGCAGTATTGTGAATATATGATAGAATGGAATGTCGTGAAGTATTTACAAATATACATCATGCATGAAATACATACAGTAACAGTGCACACTCTGTGAGACATTCGGGGCGGGGGATAGCCAAGTGTCAAAGTGTTCACTCGTCATGCTGAAGACCCGGGTTCGATTCCCCACATGGGTACAATTTATGAAACCCAGTTTCTGGTATCCCCAGCTGTGATTTTGCTGGAATACTTCTAAAAGCAGCATAAAACCATACTCACTCACTGTGAGACATGAAAATTCAGTATTCATGAGTGTACACCAACGTTTGTTGTACCTTTCATTTGTTCAATATATATTATTATTAAAGATATATTTACAGAGTGGTAACATAATTATGACTTTCATCCATTTGAGAATATTGACCACACAAAAAGATTGTGTTCTCGCAGTAATTTATCCATGCGTTGAAACAGTGCACTTGACAATTTATATTTGTATTTAATTAGGCTGAATATATTACCCTGAAGATATTTTTGGTGCCAAATTCTATTGACTTCCAGAGACAATGTCATCCATGTTGCTTCTATTTCTATTTGCCATGATAGTTGAAGGGGCGTAACTCTTGCAGGCTTAAAAACTATGTTTTAAAGTGACTTGTTATTTCAAATAATCGCTTAGGACATATTTTAGGTCACATCTATTTCCACTTCATGGATATAAAATAGCATATTCTCAAAAACATTTGATAACAAGAACTTTTCATGATAATAATAGCTGAATTTGTGTGTTGGTCACAAACTGTCAAGGTCATCCATACTACCTGTGCAAACAGGGTAAGATCGATTCATAATACCTGGTAATGTTTTGAGTACTGTTTCATATGTACTGGCTATTAACCAATCACAAGTCTTTTAGTTTATCTAAAGGGTAATAAATACACAGATATGAAACAGTGATTGGACCTGTCATCAGTGACACACACCTGTACCATTCCATAACATTAGTAACAACTACAGTAACAGAATTGGGGAATTATGTTCCAGTTTATAACATTTCCTGCAAGATAAACCATGTCTTGGTATGTATATCACTTGTAATGTACAAGAGGTGAGGTGAGGTGAGGTGGAATGTGGCCTAAAGTTGTGTTCAAGGTTATTGCACATATAGCAATGAAAGCAGTTGCATATGAGGAATACCATGCAACAGATTAACATGAATGCCCCACCCAGTACACTGTACTGATTCCCAGCTGGTCAGTCCTTGTTATATCCCCTTAAATACCAAGCTCCAGGCAGGGCAACATCAAGCATCCTATATTAATATCACTAGGTATGACACAGCTGGGGTTCCAAGCAGTGACTACCGTGCAGTCATGCAAATAGTAACATCACTTTGGACATCCTGGATGAAGGTTTCAATTATGCAGTTTAAATAACCATGGTTTGAAACAAAACAAAATCACATTAAGACTTTGACTTCTTGACTTAAGTATGTGTGTTACTGATGGAGGTCGATGTTGATTGCTATTGTAGATGTGTGGACCGGTGAATGGGGTCCATGTTGATTGCTATTGCTAATGTAGATGTGTGGACCAGTGAATGGGGTTGATGCTGATTACTATTGCTAGTGTAGATGTGTGGACCGGTGAATGGGGTTGATGTTGATTGCTATTGCTAATGTAGATGTGTGGACCAGTGAATGGGGTTGATGCTGATTACTATTGCTAGTGTAGATGTGTGGACCGGTGAATGGGGTTGATGTTGATTGCTATTGCTAATGTAGATGTGTGGACCAGTGAATGGGGTTGATGCTGATTACTATTGCTAGTGTAGATGTGTGGACCGGTGAATGGGGTTGATGTTGATTGCTATTGCTAGTGTAGATGTGTGGACCAGTGAATGGGGTTGATGCTGATTACTATTGCTAGTGTAGATGTGTGGACCGGTGAATGGGGTTGATGTTGATTGCTATTGCTAATGTAGATGTGTGGACCGGTGAATGGGGTTGATGTTGATTGCTATTGCTACTGTAGATGTGTGGACCGGTGAATGGGGTTGATGTTGATCTTGGTGCAATGATATGTAGAATACGGACCAGTGATAAGGGCTGATGTTGTTCTAGGGGCAATGATATGTAGAATACGGACCAGTGATAAGGGCTGATGTTGTTCTAGGGGCAATGATATGTAGAATACGGACCAGTGATAAGGGCTGATGTTGTTCTAGGGGCAATGATATGTAGAATACGGACCAGTGATAAGGGCTGATGTTGTTCTAGGGGCAATGATATGTAGAATACGGACCAGTGATAAGGGCTGATGTTGTTCTAGGGGCATGATATGTAGAATATGGACCAGTGATAAGGGCTGATGTTGTTCTAGGGCAATGATATGTAGAATAATGGACCAAAGATAGGGCTGATGTTGATCTAGGGCAATGATATGTAGAATACGGACCAGTGATAGGGCTGATGTTGATCTAGGGGCAATGATATGCAGAATAATGGACCAGTGATAAGGGCTGATGTTGTTCTAGGGCAATGATATGTAGAATACGGACCAGTGATAAGGGCTGATGTTGTTCTAGGGGAAATGATATGTAGAATAATGGACCAGTGATAAGGGCTGATGTTGTTCTAGGGCAATGATATGTAGAATATGGACCAGTGATAAGGGCTGATGTTGTTCTAGGGCAATGATATGTAGAATAATGGACCAGTGATAAGGGCTGATGTTGATCTAGGGGCAATGATATGTAGAATAAGGACCAGTGATAAGGGCTGATGTTGATCTAGGGGCAATGATATGTATAATAATGACCAGTGATAAGGGCTGATGTTGATCTAGGGGCAATGATATGTAGAATACGGACCAGTGATAAGGGCTGATGTTGCTCAAGGGGCAATGATATGTAGAATATGGACCAGTGATAAGGGCTGATGTTGTTCTAGGGGCAATGATATGTAGAATACGGACCAGTGATAAGGGCTGATGTTGATCTAGGGGCAATGATATGTAGAATATGGACCAGTGATAAGGGCTGATGTTGTTCTAGGGGCAATGATATGTAGAATATGGACCAGTGATTAGGGCTGATGTTGATCTAGGGGCAATGGTAATGTTGAAAATGAACCAACGATGGGGATTTCAATGTTGCTCCTGGAGCAATGATACTGTAGGACCGAAACTAATGATGATCAAAGGGCCATGCTACTGTAGAATATGGACCAGAGATGGCGGCCGATGCTGTTCCACCCGTCTCAGACCCAGCTCATCCCTTGGGGCAGTGTTTGCCTCGGCCGACCTCTGTAAGACCAGCGCTGTCTGCCACTCGGTTACAAGAGCCAGGATGTCTCCGTCATCACTGTCCAGGTCAGATTTGTCTGACAAACCCTGGCACAGAAATAACAGAATGTTTCAACATCACACACAGGATACTTAAAAGTTAAACAAAATGAATTCTTATTTTTTATACACTGAATTCAGTATTAGGAGTGCAGTCACATCATAATGACTTCTGAACCAGTTAAGCCCACCAAGATTGACAGGTAGTGATAACTCCTATGCACAATTAGCTGCAAATAGCGAGACTACACATCATAACCAACTAATTCTACCTTTACTGGACTCTAACAAAGGTACTTATTAAAAATATTACACAAAAAAATAATTGCTGAGGGGACATTGCAAGATTTGACCAGAGTCAGTTGTCATGCCAACTCACTCTGACTCCGCCCTTCTCTGCCTCCAGGAAAGCCTCCTGTACTGCCTTGAGCAGATTGCTGGTGTTCCTCAGTACGATCTTATCACTCTGACAGAGAACGGAAAACAGTCAGAATGTTTTAGTGAGTAGATTCCTCAGTACGATCTTATCACTCTGACAGAGAATGGAGAATACTTGAAATGTTTCAGTGAGTAGATCACTTTGTGTTAAATCATAGTGAGCGAGTCAGTATTTCCTGTCATGACATGTTATAATTCATCCCCAGACTTATAGTGACAAGCAAGTGCTCAAACCACTCAACTCCACAACATATCCATAAAGACTACATTTCCATTACCTTTGTCTCTTTCAGAAATGGTCTCCGGCATATCCAATTTTTTGTTATCATACTTAGATTACTTTGACAGACAGATTTACAGTAACATATACTGCTCCAAAAGGTTAAAGAACATGCAAGGAATAACTATGGTCTTAACTTCTTTTACGCAGTATATTATCAGAATGATTTCACAGTGACAGCGACACCAGTCATGAGACCCTATGTCCGTGAATGTCTCTCACCTCGGCTGTGGTGGGTGAGTTGTGTAGGACGCTGCAGATGATGTTCAGCTGTGTGGTGAAGGAGCTGATCTTGTCCACACACACTCTCAGGTCTCGAGCGTCACTGTAATCACAGGGTATGTGTTGTTTTGTTAGCAGGTGAACATCTTACACCTCATCGTAAGTTGGTGTTTGTGTGACAGATGTTTTAACAAAAACTGCTACACTAAAATCTCTATGAACAATATCAACAGATTACAAACATATAAGTCATATTAGCTTATTCAAATAATGATGACTCTAAAACAAATTACTTAACATTCTAGCACGACATTGTGTGATACTCGATTCTGATTGGCTGAGAGCTCATCAAAACTGTATTTGAATGGCAGTTTAAGGACCGCTAATTAAAGTGACCGATTGACCATGTATGAATACAATGTACTCGTTGACCCTTTTGTTTGTAAATGCTAACACATTCCGTTTTTAAATTACATTTAGCAGTCTTAAATCAACAATAACGGACCGCAAAATTGAAAACAGAGTAGCATTATCTCCTAATTTATGGGATTAGTGAGTAAATTTGGTTGAATGCTTTTTTCTGTATTTCAGTTATATTACAGTGTGTCAGCTCAGGTGTGATCAGCTGGTGATAGAGGTCTTTGACATGTCTCAATTTGGTGACAACCACAAAGATGGGAGTGGCAGAGATAATCCAAGCGAACAGGAGCAGTTTTCTGGGAGATCAAAACAACTGCATTCTTCACAAGTAAATAAAGCACCTTGCATAAATGGACAGTCAAATATTGAAATTATATCAACAGTAACTCTTCCACACTGCTGTCGGCCACTGACTTGATATGCCCCATCACTCCACATGATGCCTCTACCATTGGCTACATGTCTCTCCAATCATATCACACCACGCTCTGCTAATATACCTCTCTTCGACACAACTGTCGGCCAGTGCCTGGATGAAGCGCTGCATCTTCCGTCCATTCTCCACCACACTAGAGGCGGCATGCACCAGCCCAGCGGTGTCCTGAAACCAAAGTGATTGTATCACCAAAGCAATATATGATGGCAAGAAACTTCAGTAAACAGGTGCTTGATATTATTTTACGATATTTTTGTATGAAACATAATTTAACATTATTTCTGTCTCCAGATATATAGAATGAAACAACATACATTTTATTATAAATTGTATAATTCAAATTGAAATCAACACAGAAATTCATTCACAAATGATGCATTCCTTTAGAAACTGACTGGCCTGGGAAATGATTTTTCTCTAACATTGTTACCTCCCCTGTATCGAGGACAAAATGGCAGCAAATGAGCAAGCTGAGTTGTATTTACTTCAACATGTAAAAAATAGGATCCTCATGTGCAATCACTGGCAAACATTTGCTCCTAGTACATGGTAAGATACATCGTAGGATTACCTATACCATGGTAATTCAGTACAACCATTTTGCCCCCACCCAGTTGTCCACGACGTAACTGCATGTGCTGCTCCAGTGTAGAGCTTATGTTCATAGTCACCGTGCATTACTTGACTCGGTCTCAGCTCCTCAAGTACCTCCAACTCTCCTTTCCCCAAACAAAAATCTGCAATGTTCTTCGTGTGTTTGACAATCTCCATGGCAACCAGAATAACCTGGTTTTCTCCTGTGTTCCACTGGTTGGTGACTTCCTCAAGATACACAGCTGATGACTGTAACAGACAAGAGGGGGACCTTGATGGAAGCAGAAAGTTCACAACGCGCTTCAACACATATTATTATTTTCACAAACAGGAAGAAAAATAACAACTTATTGAAGACTCACAAGTATAAAATATTTTTCAGAACAGCATATCAAATGAATGGTTTTCTATTTGCATTTTTAGAACATTAGTTTTTTTATAAATATCCCAGAAACAAATGTACTGGACAAACATTCTGGACTCTTCACTCCATACAAATACTGAAATTTGCCCATGCTTCAGGCCATGAGAAAAAACAACTGGTACGAAATGTCAACAGACTTACCATTATAGATCGAAGAGGCTTATGGTTAGGGGTGCCAACCAATGGCGCGTCATGCAAAGACCTTCCATGCAATGGTGTCCCGATGACAGAATTATGTCCCCTGTTTCCTTGTGTCCTCAGAGGTGTCTGTGGTCCTCCTGGAGCATCTAGTTGGTCCTCAATGTCCTCTCTGAGCTTCTGTTTCGGCTTACTCACTTCTTTTGAAATATTCTTGGGTAAACCATTTCTGCTGGGCTCCATTGTGAGCAGTTTCACAATTTCTGCAAGTTTCAATACAATCAGTTGTTGATCAGAGCATACAGTATCACCTGGCTGTTATATGGAAGTGTTACTGACAACCTACTGAGTGGATATTGTTTTCATCAAAGAGATTGTACTGTTGGTATGCTGCAAGGTTAGCAATTTTTATCAACAGGTGGCCACAACCTGGGTACAACAATGTACCCTAGCTCAGAACAGGTGAGCATGTGTGACACCATAATTAGTGTTGTCAAGTTAAATATTAGTACATTCTGTTAATCATCCAAAATCATTCTTCCAAATATCTGCAGTTTGTAAACTGTAACAGCCAGTGTAAGTAGTATAATTAACCACCTACAGAGACAGAGATATCTGTGATGTCATTTGATTGTGATGTCATATTATTGTGATGTCATTTGATGATGTCACATGATTGAGATGATTTCACAATGGTCTACAAAGAATGGTGATAATGTACTGCTTGATTTCCCCAAAGCGATATCTCCTGTTGAAGCCAGTTTCACGACAATATCAGGGTCGGGGGATGAATGGCAGGAGATGCAGTGACGTGATGTGTTGTTTCACTTCACAAACCAGATCTACCAGATGTACAAACCGGTGTTGAGTGTGGGTCTGAGATCTGGCATCTGCTGGAGAGTGAACGTCAGTTTCTTCATGAGAGCTGCCCACTGAACCATGATAGTCTCCTGCTCTGTGTCATCTGTACTGCTGTCTGCAACACAATGTGTCATCTGTACTGCTGTCTGCAACACAATGTGTCATCTGTACTGCTGTCTGCAACACAATGTGTCATCTGTACTGCTGTCTGCAACACAATGTGTCATCTGTACTGCTGTCTGCAACACAATGTGTCATCACCGCAGAGCCACACCGGAACATGTAGAAATAACAAGCTGACTTCTAGGTTAACAGACTGCCACTAGTGGACCCACAGTGTTCATTCTAATACAACCAGCTTAACACATTGTGGGGGTGGGAGCAGGGATGTGGAGTAACAAAGGGTTGGGTTCTTGCACCAAGATGACTTTAGTGGTACATACCTTCCACATAGGACTTCAGCTTGTCCAGCACCTGGGGCGTAAGAGCAGCAATATCGTCCAGGCACCGCCTGACCACACCCCTTTTGGCCAGGTCAGGGGACAGCTGAATGGCGTTGAGGGCCTTCTGTTGCACCATGCTGATGTTGGCAGCCATCTTGCTCACCTCACACAGGTAGTTGGATCTATGTTCTGCTGTGGATGTTGGATCTAGTGACAGATGTGGAACCCATTAGTGAGGAGTTTCACAATATTACAAATATATAACAAAATCTGTAAGCAGCCTGGACAAGAGAAATCGATGATTTCAGGGTACACTGACCATCTGATACACTTAGTGGTCTGTAATAGGTCACCGGGACCTGTCCTTACCTAGATTCCCAATTGGTCTCCAAACTTGACATTTTGACAAATTTAGGAAACAGTTGATCTGTTAATCAGTGAATCTGCACTAGATACTTCTGTGGCTGATACAATGAACAATGATTCACAGTGTCAGGTACACAGACACGCACTAAACCAAGTCACCAATGTTGATCATTTTGTCACCTTTTATGACAACAGAAGTTCTTATTGCCTTATACAACCCCCAAATTTTAGATTCAGAGGCTTTACAACATGGAGTCAGTGTATGTGCTTGCATACAAAGAATAGCACACACAGGGTATTATAAGGGTTTTTGTTGGGTCCACTGGATCTTGATGAGTGTAGACATGAAACCGGACAATAAAGTTTCTCATTTCAGCAGCTTTGTCCATCTAATAACACCAAATATAGAGGGGGTATAAAGTCTGGTTCATAAACATCTTGATTTCATAGAGGCTTTCAAGAAGACCTGTGAGAGACAGAAATGATATAACAATCTCACCTGTGAGAGATGGTGATTAATGCACAATCTCACCTGTGAGAGTGGGCTTAGGTTTACGCCGCTTTTAGCAATGTTCCAGCAATATCACAGCGGGGGACACGAGAATCTGGCTTCACACATTGCACCCATGTGGGGAATAGAACCCAGGTCTTCGGCGTGACGAGCGAAAGCTTTAATTATTTAACAGTCTCACCTGTGAGAGACAGTAATTATTAAACAGTCTCACCTGTGAGACACAGTAAGTATTAAAAAGTCTCACCTGTGAGAGACAGAAATGATATAACAATTTCACCTGTGAGAGACAGTAATTATTAAACAATCTCACCTGTGAGAGAAAGTCTGTGTATGTCAAGTGCTTGTGTATGAAACGTTTCAAGAGGGTGACGTAAGTCTGCGGTCATGTCGTTCACTAGCTGTTGAGCTTCTAATACCTACAAAAGTAGCACATTCACTTCCTAAGTTTCTCTCCCCTATGATAGATTGTAACATATCATACCTCTGTGCTCAGTGAGTACATCAAGTTTAATAGCAAGTTACTAGAAATTATGATCACAAAGAAATCAATTAAACAATTGGAATAAACTCAACAGCTGAAAAGAAATAAGAATGATTAGTGAGTCCTACTGAACCTACTGCATGCTTGGATAATATTTGTCAATATCAGGGCCTAGATTTTCGAAGCTCTCTTAGTGCTAAGAAAGTCGTAAGTTAATGTTAATGTATGGCACTTACTACTATCTTAGCTCTAAGAGAGCTTCGAAAATCTAGGCCCAGAACTTATCCTGCCAGGAAAAGCTGTACACTTGGAATCACACATGTTCTTTGGCAAAGCGTTGTGCCCATGCAGAGAGACGGCCAAATGCTTTAACCACTGGGCTACCCCACAGCCCTCATGTCAGACCGAGAACGGGCGAGTGTATGTCAACAGGACATAGAATTATGTCGTGATGATTAGAGATTTCAGATTCATCACCATTTGACTTCAGTGGCAGCGCCTTCACATAGGTAATGCCCAAATAAAGTACCGTCACTTGTCCCCTTCCATTACATGTAACCAGTGTTACCTTGGCAACCCAGAGGGCCATTACCAGTCTGTGGTGTTGACTGCTGTAAATGGCTGACTCCTGAATGTCCCTGAACTCCCTCGCACTGCTACCTGGTGTCTGGAGTTTCTCCACGGAAGAATCCAGAAATTGGCTGATTTCAAATGACTGAGATTTCAAATTTTCATTGCTGAAATGAAAATTCATTAGTACAAAACGTACGTCACAATACCTTGCCACAAATAAAAAAGTCAGTTTCGTCAGGAAAGGCGTATCTCTGTTCTCTCATACACTCAAATAATGACGAAACATACAACTTAATGGAAAACAGCTCTAAAATCTTCACATGTTATTTGGCATGTAATTTTAATAAGTGTTGGAAGTTTACATGACACTTTGTAATTTCTGGTTAACACACAAAAATACGGCTATGTAGAAAAATCATTACACTTGCAAACAGTACTTCCAGAGTTTTACTATTTTAAAGCGAAAACATTACTGCTGAGAATTATGATGTCAACAAAGACCATTTGAAGGGTTGATAAGGCTTTTTGTAAGTGATAGTGTTGATTCCGGTGAATGCAGTATACAGTCATCGTTTTGATTTATCTTGCATGCTGGTGCTTTAATTATTTTAGTGTTCAGAACTTTTACTTTAACATATAATCAAAATTTGTTTTCAACACGAACTAAATCTCCACACATCATACCCAATAGAAACACTGTCCAGGAGTTCTTTCACACTTTCTCCCACAGCTCTCATGTTGTCCGTGTCAGTGTTGTCTAGAGTTACCTCCCCTAGTCCAACAATCTTGATACAGCCTTGCGCCATCACCTGGGACGTGAGCATCTGAAGGCTTGACAACACACATGTGACCAGTACTGCCCACTCTCGGCACAGCTGACCGAGCTGGCTCCGATATAGACGGACATCAGTTGCATCCCCTGTGAGAGAAGTGGTAATATCACAAAGCATCCACACGAACCCAGATGTATGCAAGGATGCACGTATGACAATGAAGACAGCAAACAGAACAAAAACTGTTTTCAAGATGTTATTTCCTCACCTGTCTGCAGAGTGAGGTCAGCCGTGGTTTTCATGGTGATGGTCAAATTTTCAAGGTCATCTCTTTGGTCTCTGAGGAAGGTCAAGGTAGCTTCAGTTTCAGGAGTAATGCTGGATGTAAATGAGTTGACAGAAGACAGGAGACTTCCCAGGGCCTCCTGGTGGCTCTCTAGGGTGGCAATCTGAAAGAAGTGAGAGAGTGAGGGAGTGGTGTGAATGCTGAATTGATAACCATTTCAGGTTTTGTTTAAGGCTGCACTCAGCAATATTCCAGCTATATGGCGGCGGTATGTTATTGAGTCTGGACCAGACAATCCAGTGATCAACAACATGAGCATCGACCTACACAATTGGCATACGATGACATGTGCCACCCAAAGCAGGGAGCCTGACCACCTGATCCCATGTCACCTCTTACGACAAGCATGGGCTGCTGAAGACCATTTCTAATTTGAATCTTCACGGGTCATGATTTCAGTAATATCCTGGCCTGTCACGCATTCATTCATGAACATCAGCTGTGTTTAAGTTATAGCACAGCATGTCAAATTGATGTGGAGGGGAGACTCATGCAGGTCTTACAATGTGTTGAAATGTAGGAGCACTAATACAGCTTGAAACATACTCAGAACATATCTGGGACTCGAACCATGATCATTCGTTTCTAGTATATGAAAATTCATAATTCCAACACTTTATACAACTGGCCCATTTCTTTAGAATGACATGAGTCTAGTACTCAGTATTGTATGCCCTGTGACTTGCTCAAAGTTCAGATATCACAACAAATTAAACTTCCACTACACACCTCTGCCTTGAGCTTGTCCACACTGCCTCTCTGGATCGCGACCAGGATGCCGTCTGCTACAGACTTCCATGTGTCTACTGCTACATCCAGGTGGACTCGGACTTTGTCCAGCTGCAAACAGGAGGAGGAGGAGTGAGTGAGAGGTGAGATGGAGGAGAGGTGAGAGATGGTGAGAGGAGAGTGAGAGATGGAGGAGGAGAGGTGAGAGATGAAGTGAGTGAGAGATGGAGGAGAGGTGAGATGATGGTGAGTGAGAGGAGAGAGATGGAGGAGGAGAGGTGGAGAGATGGAGGAGGAGAGGTGAGAGATGGAGGAGGAGAGGTGAGAGATGGAGGAGAGATGGAGGAGAGGTGAGAGATGGTGGTGGAGGAGAGGTGAGAGATGGAGGAGAGATGGAGGAGAGGTGGAGAGATGGTGTGAGGAGAGTGAGAGATGGAGGAGAGATGGAGGAGAGGTGAGATGGTGGAGGAGGAGAGTGAGAGATGGAGTGAGAGATGGAGGAGAGGAGAGAGATGGAGGAGGAGGAGGTGAGAGATGGAGGAGAGATGGAGGAGAGGTGAGAGATGGTGTGAGGAGAGATGTGAGAGATGAAGGAGGAGGAGGAGAGATGGAGGAGGAGAGGTGAGAGATGGAGGAGTGAGAGTGAGAGATGGTGTGAGGAGGAGTGTGAGAGATGGAGGAGAGGTGAGAGATGGAGGAGAGTGTGAGAGATGGTGTGAGAGGAGATGGAGGAGGAGAGGTGAAAGAGTTTGTGAATGTGTGAGAGATGGATTGAGGAGTGAAAGAGGAGGAGAGAGGAGAGAGATGGAGTTAGAGGAGAGATGGAGGAGGAGGTGAGAGATGGAGGAGGAGTGTGAGATGGAGGAGAGGAGAGAGATGGTGTGAGAGGTGAGAGATGGTGGAGAGAGGAGGAGAGATGGAGGAGTGAGAGGTGAGAGATGGAGGAGGAGAGTGAGAGATGGAGGAGAGCCGAGAGATGGTGGAGGTGGTGAGATGGTGAGAGAGTGAGAGATGGAGGAGAGTGAGAGATGGAGGAGTGAGAGAGAGATGGAGGAGGAGTGAGAGATGGAGGAGAGAGAGATGGAGTGAGTGAGAGGAGAGAGATGGAGGAGAGCTGAAAGAGGAGTGAGAGTGTGAGAGATGGAGGAGAGAGGAGAGATGGAGGAGGAGAGTGGAGAGATGGAGGAGAGAGAGGAGAGATGGAGGAGAGCGTGAGAGATGGTGTGAGAGTGTGAGAGATGGTGTGAGAGAGTGTGAGAGATGGAGTGAGAGTGTGAGACATGGTGTGAGTGAGAGTGTGAGACATGGTGTGAGAGTGTGAGAGATGGACTGAGTGAGAGTGTGAAAGAGTTTGTGAATGTGTGAGAGATGGATTGAGTGAATGAAAGAGTGAGTGAGAGTGTGAGAGATGGAGTGAGTGAGTGTGAGTGATGGAGTGAGTGTGAGAGATGGAGTGAGTGAGAATGTGAGTGAAAGAGTTTGTGAATGTGTGAGAGATGGATTTAGTGAGTGAGTGAGTGAGTGCGAGTGAGTGAGTTCTTATCCCACTGTAACAATCTTTAAACTAGAAATGAGATTCAGGAAATTAACATGAAGAAAAAAATACTAATTATGTATGATACACATTGACGTCATGGCCCAGGTAAGCTCAAACAAGTGTAGAAATTAATCAGACATCCCTGATGGATCAAAAAGATTACTTTTGTTTGGCATAGAGATCCATAGAGCACTTTCTACCCCAGGGGACATAATCCTCTTTTCTCTATTTGTCTAATTGCCTTTTTATTAATTACGATCTGGCAGATAATCCCCCAGACGGAGATTACCTACATCACTTGAGGACACTGAACTATTTAGGTCGTCATTACACTTAATATAAGTAATTTGCCGCTGGTATCAAAATTGATGTCAGTGACTGGCAAACGTCATGCATTCAAACCTACGTAAACCCTCTTCAGCAACCATGGGGAGAATCACAGGTAGCGTACTGGTTCACTTGTTTGTACAATACTGTCTTGATATAAGTCTAGTTGTACGTAAATTTACAAGTGTAATAATACACAAACTGGCATATTTAAGGTCGTTGACTTTGTGTGTATTTTGGTTAAAACAAAACAAGTTACACATGTAATCAGTCATAAATAGGCAAATGCTAAAGAAAATACAGAAATACAGTGTCAATACACTAGAATAAGAAGGAATCAATTGCTGTCTACTTTAATTTATGTGCTTCTACTTTCCTACTTTACACAGCTTTATATATACCAGTCCTACTGTCACTGTGTGTAACAGAATCTTGAATATAGCTCACCTTACCAGGCTAGGCATCAGTTCTGAGTACACAGCCATGGAGTCTAGTATTTAGTTCTTCTTATCAGGCTAGGCATCAGTTCTGAGTATAGGGGTATACAGCCAAGTATATAGCTAACGTGATCAGCTCTTTGATCAGTTGTGTGTAAGGAAATAGAGTCTAGTATATAGCTCACCTTATCGGCCCATGCATCAGCTGTGTGCTGCAGATTGGCCACCTCGCTGATGTCCCCGGCCACAACATACTTGGCCTTGTTGATAGTCTCCGGTGCGAGCTGATCTAGCTCTCCACACAGCCGCTCGATCTCCCTGAGGACAACATATCATGATGCTTCATCATACATCAACAACACTTCCACAATGAATGGAATGTGGCAACACCCTTGGACACAAGTCAACAACACATCAACAACACAGTGGACAGAGACTGGAGATGACACAACACCCTTGGACACAAGTCAACAACACATCAACAACACAGTGGACAGAGACTCTAGATGACACAACACCCTTGGACACAAGTCAACAACACATCAACAACACAGTGGACAGAGACTGGAGATGACACAACACCCTTGGAAGCACGTCAACAACACATCAACAACACAGTGGACAGATGCTGGAGATGACACAACACCCTTGGACACAAGTCAACAACACATCAACAACACAGTGGACAGAGACTGGAGATGACACAACACCCTTGGACACAAGTCAACAACACATCAACAACACAGTGGACAGAGACTCTAGATGACACAACACCCTTGGACACAAGTCAACAACACATCAACAACACAGTGGACAGAGACTCCAGATGACACAACACCCTTGGACACAAGTCAACAACACATCAACAACACAGTGGACAGAGACTGGAGATGACACAACACCCTTGGACACAAGGCAACAACACATCAACAACACAGTGGACAGAGACTCTAGATGACACAACACCCTTGGATACAAGTCAACAACACATCAACAACACAGTGGACAGAGACTGGAGATGACACAACACCCTTGGACACAAATCAACAACATATCAACAACACAGTGGACAGAGACTGGAGATGACACAACAGCCTTGGACACAAGTCAACAACATATCAACAACACAGTGGACAGAGACTGGAGATGACACAACACCCTTGGACTCAAATCAACAACACATCAACAACACAGTGGATAGAGGCAGGAGATGACATAACACCCTTGGACACAAGTCAACAACACATCAACAACACAGTGGACAGAGACTGAAGATGACACAACACCCTTGGACACAAGTCAACAACACATCAACAACACAGTGGACAGAGACTGGAGATGACACAACACCCTTGGACACAAGTCAACAACACATCAACAACACAGTGGATAGAGGCTGGAGATGACACAACACCCTTGGACACAAGTCAACAACACATCAACAACACAGTGGATAGAGGCTGGAGATGACACAACACCCTTGGACACAAGTCAACAACACATCAACAACACAGTGGACAGAAACTGGAGATGACACAACACCCTTGGACACAAGTCAACAACACATCAACAACACAGTGGACAGAGACTGGAGATGACACAACACCCTTGGACACAAGTCAACAACACATCAACAGCACAGTGGACAGAGACTGGAGATGACACAACACCCTTGGACACAAGTCAACAACACATCAACAACACAGTGGACAGAGACTCTAGATGACACAACACCCTTGGACACAAGTCAACAACACATCAACAACACAGTGGACAGATGCTGGAGATGACACAACACCCTTGGACACAAGTCAACAACACATCAACAACACAGTGGACAGAGACTGGAGATGACACAACACCCTTGGACACAAGTCAACAACACATCAACAACACAGTGGACAGAGACTCTAGATGACACAACACCCTTGGACACAAGTCAACAACACATCAACAACACAGTGGACAGATGCTGGAGATGACACAACACCCTTGGACACAAGTCAACAACATATCAACAACACAAGTCAACAACACATCAACAACACAGTGGACAGAGACAGGAGATGACACAACACCCTTGGACACAAATTAACGACACACAAAGGCTTGATACATTAAGTATGAAGTACACAGTAATATTCATATCCTGGAAAGCCATTTAGTTTCTTTCAACTAGCAACTACATCCATGTTTTCAACACTTTGAACACACTGTATTATACTTGTCTGGTTTACAACTGCTGGAAGAAAAAGGAGCCATTTCATATTTCTTGTTTCTTCTACAGAAAGGTAGCTGTATATCATGGGTGAAGTATCAGGTAATTTGTAGCCTCAGTCTTGTTATTTAAGTCATGTTTGGAAAAGTTTGCATTATAAAATTTTCCTTTTCAATTTAAGCAGATTCACTGATCAAATATTGAAAAAGTATATGACCTAAGGTTACAGTATGTGAACTGTTTGCTCAGGAGGCTGATTTGTTATTCTCTGTAAAAGAAAGGGTAAAAGTTCAAATCTTATTTCTGTTCTGACCTTAAGAAAGACTTCATGAAAATAATCTGTAAACCAACTAATGAACAACATTGATAACTATTTATGTTTAAAAATGACAATTCTGTAACCATGGTAATTAATGCTCACTCCTTGTGTTCAAGCTCTGTGCAATGATTGGTCAAGCTCTGTGCAGCATCTAAGATGTGATTGGTCCAACCAAGGAGGTCAGATGTCAGCACATTGACCCGCTGCTTATCTCCAGCCACGGCAGCTGACACAAACTGCTTCGCCACCAGACGAATGTCAGACATCTTCACTCCAAGGCTACCTGCAACAAGCACCTAGCTTAAATGACAATATCAGAAACAAAAGTCACAAAGACCCCTATCTACCCAAACAAGCAGACCATTGATATCAAAATAGCATGTAGTGATCCTCTGTATCGAATAACCCATGAAGATCTGGGTTAGAATTGGACTTCAGCAATCCATACTTGTTGTAAGAGCCTTGGGTGGTCAGGTTAAGTTGACACATGTCATCGGTTCCCAATTGCATAGATCAATGCTCATGCTGTTGATCACTGGATTGTCTGGTCCAGACTTGATTTTTGGCAGACTGCTACCATATTGCCTAGTGCAGGGGTAAACAACAAACAAACAAAACTGTATCAAATACAAACAAATAGTGGACTACTTCAAGTCTAATTTTGAAGTATCGTTGCTATCATCCAATCAACATCAGCAGTGGGCTATACCTGTTATGTCCCAAAACAAACAAACATCCATATGTGAGGTGAGGTGAAATTGGGTTTTACGTCGTGCTTGAGAATATTTCGCTCATATGACGACGTGCATGCGTGTGTATGTGTATGTGCGGCTGCTTGTACTAGCCCAGACTGAAGCTGGTTCTATAGTGCTAGCCGACTGAGATACCATGCCGCAGTGAAGCATGACTGACTGACTGACAGAGTTTGGTATTTTTAAGCAATATTCCAGCAACATCACGGCGGGGGACACCAGAAATGGGCTTCACACATTGTGCACATGTGGGGATTCGAACCCGGGTCTTCGGCGTGACGAGCCAACGCTTTAACCATTAGGCTGCCCCACCGCCCCAGTGAAGCATGACTACCCCAATCAGACACATTATACTGACTCCGAGCCGACCAATCCTTGTTGTACCCATTAATGCCGAGTGCCAGGCAGGGACCAACAAGTACCATATTTTAACGTCTTTTGGTATGGCGCGGTCGGGGATCGAACCCGCGACCTTCCGCTCTCCGGGTGGACGCTCTAACCACTACACCACGGAGGCGGTCACATCCATATGTATTAACAATTGCATTAAAGTATGTTACATGTTCACCAATAAATTGTTATGGTACATACTTGTAACCATTCTTGTACAAACATTATGCATCGGCTATTGTCAGTGTCAGACAGACATTATGCAGATCTTACATATTTACCACTTTAGTGAAACCTACAAAAGGTATGGTGTTTACAGATCAAGGATCAGCATAAATATTGGATTTGAACCCATGACTAGCACATGACTTACAGCTTAGAGACACAATGGGGCATATTGAAATATAGCGCCCCCCCTAGACAACTGACCCACCAGGGATCCTACTCAATATGAAAGATGTACTTATTACTCCATCCATGTACCATTCAAATCCAGTCGCTTTAGTAAACAACATTCCATTTATAAAAGTATGGTTGTTACCTGAAGCAGGCGTCTCCTCCGTGGACAGGACTTGTTTCTGTTGTCTGTCTTTGCCTGGTGAGACACGTTTTGCTGTTTTTGATGCTTGTTTCTCATTGGATGACCTGGAAGCCTGGACCTTGCCGGACTTTGAGGAGGGATGGTAACTTGACAGTTGATGTGAATGACTGCGCCTTTTGCTGGGTGGTTTGTTTATTTTTGAGCCTGATAAAAAATTTTAAAAAAATATATAAAAAAAAAAGAAAGAAAGAAAAAAGAAAATTAATTTTAATGGACATCTTTTGACATATCCATAATTATGTTTTGTTTGTTGCTTGAGGTTTAACTGTATCATGAAGAGCATTCTCAGAGTTAGCCTCAGCACAATAGCTGTCTCATAAGTCAGTATGGTTTTCTTGTGTCACAATGGAGATCAATCATGGCCCAACTCCATAATAAGTTGACACTCAGCCCAGTGAGCTATTCAACCCTTTTCTGAAAAGCCCTGAACTGGGTTATGTCTCTTAGTGTTCGCTAAGTCAAATATCTAACTTAATGTCGTAAGTAATGAAGACAATGATGTGACTTAGTGTTTACACTTCATTCTGACATTACTCATCGTACAATAAACAAGTAAATATGCCCACTTCAGGATCGTTGGATTGTGCTGAAGTTGTATTGTTCAAGCGCTATGTGAACCAAATCTACAAGAGCAGAAATTCTGCAAAGATGATCTCTCAAACAACATTCATGGAGGACTTAGCAAATTACCCTTGAACATTTGGGCTAGAACTGGTCTTCAGCAACATATCCTTGTCATCAGATGTTTAGGCTCGCTGACTTTGTTCAATTCAAGATCAATGACAACTCAATAACCGTGATCACTCAATAAGTATGACAACTCCATCACCATGACAACATGATGACCCTTTTCATCACCCATGGAACTGCTCCTACCAGAGAGCCTCAGCCTCTTTTTCCGGTACACATCCATCCTGGCAGGGCTGGAGATGTCTGGGTGGTTGTCCGCCGACAGCCCCTCCTTCACCTGCTGCACGAACCCCTTCAGTAGATGCAGGTGCTTCAGGAAGGTCTCCTGGAGACTCAGGTTGTGGAAGTCCCGCAGTAGGTACCTCTGGGCCTCTTTGGTGATGGATTCAGCTAAACCAAAACATTGACACGAGGTATGAGGAGAGCCACTTCTGTGACCCTCAGAGTTTTATCATATGTCTATATGTACCTCATGTACATCTCATAAAAAACAAACAATTTGGATCCAAGGATGACTCATGTTCAAATACACTACTAAAAATGTTAAGGACCAGCTAATGGTGTAAAATCTGTCATGGAGTTAAACATCAGTGGCATTGCATGGTAACATAAAGGAATCATGTGGTCCTTGACATGTTTTGAGTGGTATATGTAAGAAACAGTTCTTATAAGTCCAGTATGTACAACGTCTAGTTCACATTAATGTGAACACACCTGAGATTTTCTTTCACCAGTGTGTATCGACGACATCAGCTATGACTGGCTGAGTTAAACATCTAGCTGAGCTTCTTGCCATCATTTTACAGCCGTTGATCTTTTCACTTAGCAATCACAAAATATTTTGGGGCATGTGATATGTCTGTTGAGAATTGGTATTGAAGAACATTGAGTCAGTAAATCCATAAACCAAGAAATATATTCCAGCTATTGCCAAGTTGCCCACAATATACCCACCTTGTTGGAGCTTTCTGACAAAGACGAGCAGACCGTTCCTGTAGATGGCATCGGTGTTGTGGTCCACCACCGATTGGGCTATCTGCATAACGCGCCTGGTGCGATGGAACACGCGGGAGATGGCCTCGGTGCTGCCATCTTGGTCCGCCTCCAGGAGGAACCCACGCACTGCCGATATGTCCTCACTTATCTTTAACTCTGATTGACAGAACAGACATCAGTGTGTCAGGTTGTGATACTACGTGATTTCTTTGATTTAACTAGATAATTGACAGTGTAGAAAAGGTAGAGTTGAGTTGACATTCAACATTTATTCACCCAAGATTTGAATCAGCTGCTGGTACATTAAAGATCTACCCAAAAATGTCACAAGGCTGCATGCAAATACCTGATACTTCTATGAACAGCTCTGGGTCCACCATTTCATCCAGAACTTCTACAAGAGCAGATAACTCTTCCTTCCAGCCCTTTACCAATAACTTTAAGTTTCTCAGGGCAGCCATGTTTGTTGGTTGCCTGGCAACTGCCTTGATTGATGGAACAATGTCAGGGTCAACTCTTTCAAGATAGTACACAGAGGCACGGATAACCCTCACACCTGCAACAGAGAAAAGTTATCTGATTGGCGAAAGCAGGAATGACTTCAGTAACGTTGCTACACTAGAGCCTCATGTCTCGATCAACTCACTTGCAGCTGTATTCAACACGTTAAACAACGAACATGGTTTGCATTTTGGCTGATAGCCCTTCTGACTTAGAATAGGGCCTAATTGTTCTGGCATTCCTGAGAGTTGACCATGTTCAGAAGAAAGCAATGTATGACCTGGGTGATTGTGTGTTATATCCAAACTACCAGGGACATTGCTCATGCAGGTACAAGTTTGTTCGATCAACACAAACACTTACATCCCATTTACAATATCTGAGAGCAGCACAGATCATTCACTCCACTTCAAATTAAAGCACAAGTGAAGAATTATGTATAAGCTATCTATGTGCGACAGCAATGTGTCTCAAGGCCACTGAACAAAAGTTGATACTCAAATATATTTTCTACAAATTTGAAACACCTAACAGTAAAATCTGACAAACAAAACCAAATATGAGGTCATCATAGAGGGACATTTACAGAAGCAAATACTGATGTTGACAGGACTTGAGAGCATGACCAATGCAGTTTAACATACATCATACATACATACAAATACTTGTATAGTGCCAATATCTGTAAACTGCTCAAAGGTGCTTTGGCTCTAAGATGGTCTAGATATCACATAGAGTTCAAGTGCTTCAGCAAAGAGACACGTCTTTAGATTTGATTTAAATACAGCTAAATCTGGTTGTGTTCTGAGGTGAGATGGAAGATTGTTCCAGAGATGAGGGCCAAATAACAACAATTCTAAGATGCCTAGCGGTTAGAACAATCGAAAAAAACATACATTATCGGACAATAAAGGTATAGTTTTTTGATGACGTAACAATTGAATGACGTTATCCCGTCACTGCGCCATTCTAGTGTGCCCCCTCGTAATCGAACCATTTTACATTACGTCACAATGTAAGCGACGTCACGATGCATGTCAGTTGTCATCGCCTCGTATAGCCTCCTACAGTAAACTACTGCGTTGCATCCCGTTTCTTGGTTTGCAGTTGCTTCACTCACCTAACATCACTGGTGGAAACAATACGGTTATGTTTTCTGACGTTTTCAATGTCTCAATTCGACTCACAAGTTTTCAGCGACACGGTAACGTTCGCAATGTTTACATTCACACAATGCAATCGTGGAATGTCGCTTGAAAACTCAGCTTCGTCTGGATGTACTGATCTAAACATACGTTGGTAGTAGAAATGCGACGCTCACATGGTTTACGTTAATCACAGATGTAATTAAAATAATTTAGAGAAGATATTTAATCGAAACGTAAACCGTCATCAAACTGTTTATCATTTGTTTTTCTGGTAACGTTATAAAGTCTTAACGAGGGGAGCAGACACATCAATAGAACAGCGTACAGTTAGCCCTGTGTGCGAGGATTCTTAATTTAGGTCACCGACACCGCCGCTTGTTTTCTGCCTTAAATTAATCGTAATTATCCTTAGAAAGTATTAAATTTGGCATCTTAGAAAGAAATACAGTTCGGCTACCACCATGTATATAGTGTAATAAAACACACTTTCTTCGCCCTGAACTATTATAGTTAAAGCAACGAGAAGGCGTCCTCGTGCTTTAACTATAATAGTTCAGGGCAAAAGTGTGTTTTATTACACTATACATGGTGGTAGAGCGAACTGTATTTCTTAAATAACATAGCAAAAACAGGAACATACATGTTGAGCTCAGAAACTACAAATGCACCCAATTTCAATAGTTTCAATTACAGTGACTTTGTAATTGTCATAGACAGCTACTAAGTGAAAGAATGTCATGAAAATGACAAAGGAAACAAGTAAACAACTTTAGGCAAAGGTGGACTGAGAAGTGAAGAGTCTCCCCATTGAGCTCTGTATGTCTACAGCCTACACAACCTTCAGCACTACTCTAAAAGTCCTGTCTCTTCCATAACGATGAACTTTCCTGGGCTGCGATTGGAACATGATATTGAGCATGGAAAAGCATAATACAGACTACATTTTCATTATTATTATTATTGCTATAAAATGTGCCCTAGTTTGGGGAATCTGTATCCCTGGACTGCACCACTAAAAGAATGTAGATACAGCGGCCCAGATACAGACACAGCTGACCCTGGTCCTGATATTACATGATTCCAGATAAATCCACCCACGTAAGGACATGGATCGTTCGACCAGTGGGTCACAACTGTACCGACGGACTGCTGATCTGTGTAGATGACCTATAAATCTGACCAACATAAATACGTGCACATGAGTTCATATTTACTGTCTCCATAAATAAGAGCAAGTTGACAAACTCATGATCTGGTAGCTCTATAGGTCGTATATATCTTTCATATTTATTCCAGGTACACTGTGACATGCCCACCATATGTTGGGGGAAAGCCAGTAGTGACAAGGCTCTAAACCATTTACCACAAGAATGAACCTCAGGATGAATTTGGGATTCAAACAAACCGTAATTTATCCTAGGATGTGACTCTACATACAGGTGAATACTGTAAGATTCATCCACTAGACCAACAGTTTCAATCAAGGATCCCATCAAACACTTCAATATAACACTTATACTGGCTCCATCAAACACTTCAATATAACACTTATACTGGCTCCATCAAACACTTCAATATAACACTTATACAGACCCCATCAAACACTTCAATATAACACTTATACTGGCACCATCAAACACTTCAATATAACACTTAAACTGGCACCATCAAACACTTCAATATAACACTTATACTGGCACCATCAAACACTTCAATATAACACTTATACTGGACCCATCAAACACTTCAATATAACACTTATACTGGACCCATCAAACACTTCAATATAACACTTAAACTGGCTCCATCAAACACTTCAATATAACACTTATACTGGACCCATCAAACACTTCAATATAACACTTATACTGGACCCATCAAACACTTCAATATAACACTTAAACTGGCTCCATCAAACACTTCAATATAACACTTATGCTGGCTCTATCCAACACTTCAACATAAAACTTATATTGGCCCCATCAAACACTTCGATGTAACACTAATACTGGCATCATCAAACACTTCAATATAACACTTATACTGGCCCCATCAAACACTTCAATATGACACTTATACTGGCCCCATCAAACACTTCAATATAACACAGATACTGACTCTATCAAACATTTCAATATAACACATATACTGGCACCATCAAACACTTCAATATAACACTTATACTGGACCCATCAAACACTTCAATATAACACTTATACTGGCACCATCAAACACTTCAATATAACACTTACACTGACCCCATCAAACACTTCAATATAACACTTATACTTGCTCTATGAAACACTTCAATATAACACTTACACTGGTCCCATCAAATACTTTATTATAACACTTATACTGACCCCATCAAACACTTCAATATAACACTTATACTGGCTCTATGAAGCACTTCAACATAACACTTATACTGACCCCATCAAACACTTCAATATAACACTTATACTGGCTCTATCAAACACTTCAATATAACACTTAAACTGGCCCCATCAAACACTTCAACATAACACTTATACTGGCCCCATCAAACACTTCAATATAACACTTATACTTGCACCATCAAACACTTCAATATAACACTTATACTGGACCCATCAAACACTTCAATATAACACTTATACTGGACCCATCAAACACTTCAATATAACACTTATACTGGACCCATCAAACACTTCAATATAACACTTATACTGGCTCTATCAAACACTTCAATATAACACTTATACTGGACCCATCAAACACTTCAACATAACACTTATACTGGCTCTATCAAACACTTCAATATAACACTTATACTGACCCCATCAAACACTTCAATATAACACTTATACTGGCTCTATCAAACACTTCAATATAACACTTATACTGGCACCATCAAACACTTCAATATAACACTTATACTGGCACCATCAAACACTTCAATATAACACTTATACTTGCACCATCAAACACTTCAATATAACACTTATACTGGACTCATCAAACACTTCAATATAACACTTATACTGGACCCATCAAACACTTCAATATAACACTTACACTGACCCCATCAAACACTTCAATATAACACTTATACTGGCTCTATCAAACATTTCAATATAACACTTATACTGGACCCATCAAACACTTCAATATAACACTTATACTGGCTCTATCAAACACTTCAATATAACACTTATACTGGCTCTATCAAACACTTCAATATAACACTTATACTGGCTCTATCAAACACTTCAATATAACACTTATACTGGCCCCATCAAACACTTCAATATAACACTTATACTGGCTCTATCAAACACTTCAACATACCACAGATACTGGCTCCATCAAACACTTCAATATAACACTTAAACTGGCCCCATCAAACACTTCAATATAACACTTATACTGGCTCTATCAAACACTTCAATATAACACTTATACTGGCCCCATCAAACACTTCAATATAACACTTATACTGGCACCATCAAACACTTCAATATAACACTTATACTTGCACCATCAAACACTTCAATATAACACTTATACTGGACTCATCAAACACTTCAATATAACACTTATACTGGACCCTTCAAACACTTCAATATAACACTTATACTGGTCCCATCAAACACTTCAATATAACACTTATACTGGCTCCATCAAACACTTCAATATAACACTTATACTGGACCCATCAATCACTTCAATATAACACTTATACTGGCTCTATCAAACACTTCAATATAACACTTATACTGGCTCTATCAAACACTTCAATATAACACTTATACTGGCTCTATCAAACACTTCAATATAACACTTATACTGGCTCTATCAAACACTTCAATATAACACTTATACTGGCCCCATCAAACACTTCAATATAACACAGATACTGACTCTA